GATTAAACGCTCCTCGCCGAGGAAACTCTCCTATTGGAGACGAGGCTGGAGGATATATAGAAACGTAACGATAACCATTGGAGGGGTAAAATTTTACGGTGAATTCTAAGGTTTATCTCGACTCAGTGGTGTGCCAAATCGACCGAGATTTATGGCCGCGGAGGAGGATTAACGTTTCCTTTCGCTTTGTTTCGCTCTTAGTCCCTTTATGATCCCTCTCTCCTCTCCGTAATCCGGATTTCTAGTGTCTTTATTACGATCTTTCCTTTCTTTCTTTTTTTTTTTATTTTTTATTTTTTTCTTCTCCCTTTATATAGGGATCCGATACTTTGGTGGATACTTCTCGAAATTAATCGATGCCCATCCTTAACGAGAGACGTAAATCTATCGCGTGAATTCTATAAATTGTGGAGTCAGGTTGGCGCAGATGTTCGCCAAGTTACTTTATGACGCGCGCGAGATTAAAATCAATTTATGGCGCCAATTCCTTTCCGCTTTGAATTCGATCGGATCGAACTCGCTCGATGAGACGAGTCGAGATGAGAGACTTCTCGTTCGTTTGCTTCGCCTCAATTATTCCTCGAGAATCTTTTTTTTATTTTTTTCCAAGATTCGGATAACGATTATGTATTATCTCGATTAACAGAATCAAAATTTTGTTTTCTTCTTACTCAATATTTTACTTTGAAACACGAGAAACGTTTTGAAAATTATTTAAGATTTAAATATGGACAAGTTCGAAGTTTCGCGAGTTTCCTATCCTCTACTTCTTTCATTTTATCTTCCTGTTTTTTCTTCTTTCTTTCTTTCTTTTTTTTTTACTGACCTACTTTTGCCTTATCTACTTCTTTACGTTCATTGCATATTAACGTCACGAGAATTACGCGGCCATTCTCCCTCGTTGGCAATTCGCCCCATTTTCCCCGGAAAAAAGTGTATCTTTCCTCCTTCGAACACCGGACGATTGCGGCGTTTTCGACCCACCCTTAAACAATTCACAATCCTATCGATCCGCGCGATTTCGATTATTAAGAAATATATTCGATTCGAACATTGGAACGTAAGTCTCTCAAGTGTCCACCGCGGAGGAAAAAATCTTTTCCTCGTTCGCAAAGGAAGGAAAAGGGTCGAAAGAATTGGTCAATATTTAATACGCGTAGATGCTCGCGAGACGAGTAAACTTTTACATTCCATTATTTTCTTAGCAAAGGTGGTCTCCGCGTGGCGTAAGATCGAGATAAAAGAAAGAAAAAAAGGAGAAAGAAAAAGATATCCCCGCGCGAGGGAAAAAGGAAGGAATATTCACGCCTCGCTCCCGTCAAAAGTAACGCTTTAACACGGATGCGTGATTTCCCAGGTGGGCTGTTTCATCCGTCGGACGACAAGCAAGAAGTGGCCTTTCGTTATGCCGTGGAAAAGATCAACGCCAACCGGGATATCCTGCCCAAGTCCCGTCTCAGCGCCCAGATTGAGCAGATAAAACCGCAGGACAGTTTCCACGCTTCGAAGCGAGGTGAGTGAGTGCGTGTGCGGGCCCCGTTTTTTCTTCTCTCCCCTCGCATCAACCAACCCTCCAAACCGGTCTCCCTCTTCGTCCACGGATATTTAACGTCAAAGGGAGGGAGAGGTCTCAATTTTAACCGCGCGGGGATAAACCACCGCGATGATTATTCTATTTCCTCTCCTCTAATCGCCGTGTTTTCAACGGCGCACAACGTTTAATTTGGGGAATTACGGATCAGAGATGGGACACGGATGGTTTGGGGAAATTAGTGTTATTCGGTGGAATATTGACTCGCGCGGCATCGATCGGATCGTGGAGCTCTCTGGATATATATGTATACGTATACACGGTTATATTTTTCACGGGCGCGAGTGACATCGACAGGCAAAGCGAAAAACCAATAGGCGAAAACAGGCAGGACCACCTCTATCAAACATACATCAGCCAATCACGGTTAGTCGAAACTAATATAAACGGTTGTGATGTATAACAACGGAAAAACAGAGTTTTTTAATCAAAAAAAAAGGGGGAAAAAACGAGTTGAATCACGAGCTCGCGTGATAAAGTATGAAAGGCTCTCCATTAAACCGATCATCATTCGTCTGATTTTTTTTCTTTTTTTTTATTTATCTCAACGAGAAAGTGGTTCAAGAAAAACTCGTTCCGCTGTCGCTACTCTTAATCGTAATTAATAGACTTGGCTTCCCAATTAACAGATGATCGTGTTTGCGAAGTCATCGAGGAAAATTCGATAATCGTTAAGCGGAAAATAGACTGGAGGTTTCATTATCGCCGTTAGTGTCGAATATGCGCGGGCTCGAGGAGTTAAACACCTCGAGTTCTTGACTTACTTTGATCCTTCGGTAGAAGTTTAATCGGGTAACGCGGTAATTACCCACTCTTAATGGGTATCTTCTTGCGTGGCTCGTGGGACGTTGTCAAACCGCGGATCTAATCGAATCTCTGTGTCTCCTCGAGGAAGAAAAGAGGGGAGGAAAGTTTCGCGGGAAGAATAATAACTAATAAGATGCCTCGTTTCGTGTTTCGTAAATTACGAGGGAACTACTTTGCACTACTTGGAAGCGTTGCACGGTTATGCGTTCGAGAGCATGTACGCTTTCCAAGACTTTCCAAACGGGAAACACCATGAAGATAATCCAACTTCCATAGAATTTTCCCTACGTTCCCCCGGCCGAGCCGGAGTTTCCGTTTTACAAGAACTATTTTCCAAGTTCCTCCTCTTCCTCCTCCTCCTCCTCCTCCTCTTCCTTCCCCGACATGGGAAAATAAACTTGCGTTTCCTCGCTGCAGATTTCCCGTGTCAGTTCGCGTCCCCCTCTTGTCAATGTCGCGTATCCTGGCCAAGAAAAGTTTCTTAACAATGTTATCTCGGTTCACCCTTGTCTCCTACCGAGTCGATACCATCGGGTCTCTCATGTCGGTCCCTCTATTCCCCTCGTCTTTCTCGTCTTTACGGCGAATTAAAAAAATCACATCACAGGATATTTTCCTCGCACAAGTTTTTCGTAAGGGAAGATTGAAGCTATTTTTTTTATTCTCGCATTGTCCTATCGGTTGTTTCTATATATATTGTCTTTCTCGTCTTTACGAATTAAAAAAATCACATCACAGGATATTTTCCTCGCACAAGTTTTTCATAAAGTTGAAGCTATTTTTTCCATTCTCGCATTCCGTCCTATCGTATATTTCTATATATATATCGTCTTTACGGCGAATTAAAAAAATCACATCACAGGATATTTTCCTCGCACAAGTTTTTCGTAAGGGAAGATTGAAGCTATTTTTTTTATTCTCGCATTGTCCTATCGGTTGTTTCTATATATATTGTCTTTCTCGTCTTTACGCATTAAAAAAATCACATCACAGATATTTTCCTCGCACAAGTTTTTCGTAAGGGAAGATTGAAGCTATTTTTTTTATTCTCGCATTGTCCTATCGGTTGTTTCTATATATATTGTCTTTCTCGTCTTTACGAATTAAAAAAATCACATCACAGGATATTTTCCTCGCGCAAGTTTTTCGTAAGGAAAGCTACTTTTTCCATTCTCGCATTCTGTCCTATCGTATATTTCTATATATATGAATTGTCGAACTGATCGTGGATAATTGTGAACAATATCGAACAATTTATAATTATCCTTGATGAAAAATCTCCGTTTCCGTGTAAACGTGGGAAACACGTTCGTGAATTCGATGATGAATCGAATGTGACTAATTGAAAGGAAATATCGTTAATTTCCTTGGGCGTTGATCGTATCGTAGCGCGGATCGGCTCGAGGCAATCGCGAAAACGAACGTAATTATACGATCGAATGGCTTAGGAATAATTGTTATCACAATGGCGGATGGTGGGTTGGAAATCGTTGGGAACGGGAAACGTCGGCGGCCGGTTATTAATCGGTTGCAGAAATCCGCCGCCGCCGCCGCGGAGCAGCGATAATTATTTTCGCGTGTCGCCCGATCGTCACCTGACTAATTATCGAATTAAGCCCTTCGATATATTAAGCCAAATTATTAAGCTCTTGCACGCACACATATACACGTATATACATAGTCGTTTTGGCTGACCCGTAAACGGGACAAATCACGCGTACACGCGTTGTTACTCGATGGATCGAGATTTTGGCGTCGTTCCACGTGCACCAGTCCCGAGGGCAATCTCATTGACAAATCTCTCTTTTGTCGGTGACACGACAACGATTCGCGGTCTGTAAAAACCCGGCCGTGTACAAGAGTTGAAGCAGACCGATATATCGTTTTAATGCACTGTCGTAAATGACGCATGGGGATATTACTCGTGTAAGGGGACAAACAACTTCTTTTTTCCTGCCGCGCGTGTGTTTCGCGTTACGACGAAAACTTAATGATACCGTACCGATACGCGTGACAAGATAAGCGACAACTTTCGTGACGCAGAGTGGATCGAAGTGAGTAAAAGAGAGCCCTATCAAGAATCCTTTCCATTAAACCCTCTCTTCTCGCGTAACCGAGGTAGATCCAATTTATTAGATTCGATAGAGCGACGTAGCTGTCGTCGATATCATCCACCCTTTCTCGTCGCGAAACTGCACGGAATTCTTCGACACGATCTCTCTTAGCTGCTGCTACCAACTTCCCTCGGATTCGGAATTTCCTCGGATTCGGAATTTCCTCGGATCGGGAATTTCCTCTACTTTTCAATTTCCAACTTTGACGATTATTGTACGCGTCGGTAGAAAAAAAACACCTATCACGCGTATCACGAATTTTTGCTTTCCGAGTTTCACGAAATAGCGGGGCGAGAAATATATATGAACGGTTGATAGAGAATTTGGCGGAGGAGTTGGAATCGGTTTCGACGCGGTTCGATCCGACCGGCTCGTTTCGGCCAACGAACCCTCCCTCCTTTCGTTTCGAGGAGGAGCAGAAAACGCGGATGATGCTTCCCTTCCCTTTACTGCGTTTTTACGATATGACGAAGAAACACGACCGAGTGTCGGCGCCTTTGTTCCGACCCGTGTCCCCCTCCTCCCCCTCCTCGCGATTCCGCGTAATACAGTTTTATGACCCTGCTCGCCTCTATCCCGGAATTATTTCTCCGCTGGCGCTCTCCTCTCGTTGCTTTTTCCGTTGGAAAACGGCGCAGGGGGAAGGGAAGGGGGATGAGGGAAGGTCGGCGACGGGGACGCATGATTCGATTATTCGCGGCCGGACTTTAACGTGCGTCTGATCGTGATACATAATGCAATAATTGCGAGAAACTGTGTAAGGAAGGAAAGAAATCGTTATAGCGATTGGATATAGCGAGAAGTTTTTGATCGATCTTGGATATTTGGATGCACGAATACTTATTTTATCATCTTTATTCGTATGATAGAGGGTACTCGATATGACCACGATCAGTTTCTTTGGCGAGCGAATATTTTCATTTCTTCGTACGCGAAGATATAAACATTTTTATTGCTTACTTTGATATGACGAAGAGAATGGAGTTGACGTACTCTCGCCTATAGCTTGGCTTTTGTAAGAAGTAAGAAATTCATCTAATGTAAATTATAAACTTTATAAAAATCATTAATAATCTTGGATAGATAGATGAGAGTTTAGGGAAACTTTATCAAACTATAATCTCTTTCCTCCCAGAATTTAATCCTCTTCATCAAAAAGGAGAAAAAAGTATTCTTACTTTTGATCGATTGCCACGATAATCGTGAAACAAGCGTATTCCCGGCATCATCTTCCTCCCCATTTATCACTTACCACGCAGCTAAGGCAAGAATTAATCTCCAACTGTTAACTGGACTACTCGGGATCACGATCACGAAATATTTCTCGTCGAACGCAAATTTTACTCGGCCAATCCGAAAATAATTCCTCGGAAAAAAGTCGAACGACGCATCGAAGAACGAATCTTCCCTCGTTCCTAATTTCCTCCTAACTTTTGAACCTCTCTTTCTTTCCTACTATGCAAGCTCGCATAGTTGGCCGAAGTTCGGTATATATTCAGCGACTCGCAACTTCTCAACGCTGACGGCGATTTCGCTAGCCACGGAACTGTCCTTCCCTTTGAAACTGTACCACCGTCCAATTAAGCATAATGGAAGGAAAACATCGTTGTTGCACGCTAGAACCCGCGATAACGCGTTGTGGATCCTCCTCAACTTGCGATAGTGGCGTTCCCAAGAATGTCGTCTTCTCTCCCGCGAAATTGCCTTTCTTCGTTAACTTTCCGCCACGATACGATATTGTTTTACTTTTTTTTTTTTCTCCTTCCTTCCTTCTTTCCTTTCTTTGGAGGGATACCGATCGAAAGGTGGGGGAGGGAAGGGTAGTCGAGTCGAAATTGAATTAACCGTGTTCAACGGGGTATAGAAAATCGAAGTGGATAGTGGATATCGATTTTTCGATGAAATTTGTTTGCGCTGTAGCGTGGAGTTGGAGTTTTCTAGCGTCCAAAAATAAGTAGAGATAAAAAATAAGGAGGGGGAAAATTGGATTATCTATTTATC